CAGCTTCCCCCAAGCAAAACAAATTCCATCACCACCGGCAGCTCTCTCCTTTCTCCTCGCTTTCGTTAACATAGCGAGCGCCATGAATAACTTGGAGTCTCGACAGCCAAACCCTTCCCACATCAACTGCGGTAATGTGAACGATAGTTACAACAACACCTGGAACAACTGCGACTTCACGGTGACCGACGAGAAGTGCCAGATTCTGGAATGGCTATCTCCATTAGCTCCTCAGAAAAGGCATCGAGATGTTAGAGAATCTCAGGCGGAGGGGGTAGGCGATTGGCTTCTACAAAAAGACGAGTTTGTAAATTGGCGCACTGGTGAGGATGGGGTGGTTAGCCCTGTCTTGCTTTGCTATGGGGATCCCGGGGTTGGCAAGACACATCTCAGGTATGAGAAAAAAGCATATACTGGGGCAAATGGGGGAGACTAAATAGTGATGTTTGTGGGTAGTTCTTTAGTTATCGAAACACTGCGCCATCAAAGTGGTGGGAAACCGGCCGCCGTCGCGTATCTGTACTGCGACTTCCACGCCCACAAAGAGCAATCCACGGCTTACATGTTAGGCGCAATCCTCAAGCAAGTCGTAAGCGGCTTGGAACATATTCCGAAGGAAATTGGGACGGCATTTCGGAAGTCAAAAAAACAAATCGGAGGTCGAGAGCTTGGGTCTAGTGAAACGCTGGAGTTACTAATCTCGTCGCTGCGAACCCTGCAACGGAGCTATATTTGCATCGACGCGTTGGATGAGTTTCCCAGAGAGCATCGACCAGAGTTTTTTAGATCATTGGTGCGGATTACTCAAGAATCACCCTGCACTCGGCTATTCCTGACAGGTCGGCCACACATTCGGGATGAGGTAAAGATATATTTTACCAGAAGCGCTGAGATTCAAATCAAGCCAACGGAGGAAGATATCAAGAAATATCTTAGTATGAGGTTGAGTAATGATACACATCATGAGGTGATGGACCAGGACTTAAGAGAGGAAATCCTTCGGACTATTCCCGAAAAGGTTTCGGAAATGTATGTGAAAGATATCGCGACATTGAGTAGGTTTACTCTCGGATGATTTGCTGACGTTTTTCCACTTGTAGATTTCTGCTAGTTTCGTTAAGCATGAACGCAATATTAGCTCAGCCAACTATTTCCCGGAGGAGAAAAACACTTGGACAGATAGATAATAGTTTGGAACTGGGTGGTGCCTATGCTGCAACTCTCGAGCGGATTATGGCGCAAGACGGAGACAAGGGGAAACTCGGGATTGAGGCACTGATGTGGATATCGCGGTCCGAGCGGCCATTGCGCATGGAGGAGTTACGCCATGCGCTAGCAATCGAAAATGGTTCGAAAGAGGAAGACCTCGAGAATGTGCCTGCTATAGAAACACTATTAAGGTCCTGCCTAGGACTGGTCATAATGGATGAGGATCGATCGGGAGTTCGGTTGGTACATTTGACTCTCCAAGAGTATCTCGGAGGACATCCTCATCTTTTCAGTAGTGCCCACTCGAAAATGGCAGAGATTTGTCTCACATATCTCAACTTTCAGAGCATTAAGGACCTACCTCCTACTCTCCTGTCCCCCCCACCCCAAGCACCCTTTCTCGAATATGCCTCTTGTTACTGGGGAGTCCATGCTAGAAAGGAATTAGCAAAACGTACAAAACCCCTCGCACTTCAACTTCTTGACCTGTATGATCGTCATGTATCTGCAAAGTTGCTTCTAGTGAATCAGACTATCTGGCCATTTTATCACGTTCGTGAGCCTGAGCGCTGCGGGAGCAGGTTTACCGGATTGCACGCTATCGCGTACTTCGGGGTTGTGGATATCGCCATCACTCTGATTAAGTCCAGGGATTGGGAGGTGAACGGAAAGGATATTGTGGGGCTCACACCACTTTTGTGGGCCGTCAGAAACAAGAACGAAGTGGTTTGTAAGTTACTCTTGGAATTAGGGAATATAGATCCCAATATCGCAGACAGTGAAGGCCGAACGCCGCTCTTTAGGGCATCTACAGATGGATACGAGGGTATAGTGAAGCTACTCCTCGAATGCGACGAAGTCAATCCCGACTCATCTGATAACGGCGGCCAAACACCACTCTCGGGCGCGGCTGAGAGTGGGCACGAGGGTATAGTGAGGCTGCTCCTCAATCGCAAGGAAGTCAATCCTGACTCATCTGATAATTACGGCCGAACCCCACTCTGGCGGGCGGCCCAGGGTGGGCACAAGGGTATAGTGAAGCTACTCCTCGGGCGCGGTGAAGTCAATCCCGACTCGTCTGATAACCACGGCCAAACACCACTGTCATGGGCGGCTGAGAACGGATACGAGGATATAGTGAAGCTACTCCTCAATCGCAAGGAAGTTAATCCCGACTCACCGGATAATGACGGCCAAACACCACTGTCGGGGGCTGCTCGCAATGGTCACGAGGGTGTAGTGAAGCTACTCCTCAGTCGCAAGGAAGTTGATCCCGATTCGCCTGATAATGACGGCCAAACACCCTTGTGGCGAGCGGCTCGTGGTGGGTACGAGGGTATCGTGAAGCTACTCCTCAATTACAAGAAAGTCAATCCCCACTCATTTGATGTGTACTGCCAAACGCCACTGTCGGGGGCCGCTCGGAATGGGCACGAGGGTATAGTGAAGTTGCTCCTCAATCGCAAGGAAGTCAATCCCGACTCATCTGATAATTACGGCCGAACCCCGCTGTGGCGGGCTGCTCAGGGTGGGCACGATGGAATAGTGAAGCTACTCCTCGAGCGCAATGAAGTCAACCCCGACTCATCTGACAACGGCGGCCAGACACCGCTGTCGGGGGCGGCTCAGAATGGGCACGGGGGTACGGTGAAGCTACTCCTCGAACACAAGGAAGTCAATCCTGACTCATCTGATAATTACGGCCGAACCCCGCTGTGGCGGGCTGCTCAGGGTGGGCACGATGGAATAGTGAAGCTACTCCTCGAGCGCAATGAAGTCAATCCCGACTCATCTGACAACGGCGGCCAGACACCGCTGTCGGGGGCGGCTCAGAATGGGCATGGGGGTACGGTGAAGCTACTCCTCGAACACAAGGAAGTCAATCCTGACTCATCTGATAATTACGGCCGAACCCCTCTGTGGCGGGCTGCTCAGGGTGGGCACGATGGAATAGTGAAGCTACTCCTCGAGCGCAATGAAGTCAATCCCGACTCATCTGACAACGGCGGCCAGACACCACTCTCGGGGGCAGCTCAGAATGGACATGAGAGTATAGTGAAGCTACTCCTTGAATGCAAAAGAGTCAATCCCGATTCATCTGATGACACTGGTCAAACGCCACTAATGAGGGCGGCTCAGAATGGGCACGGAGGCGTAGTGAAGCTACTCATCGAACGCAAGGATATTAACCCCGCCTCAACTCTTAACGGCGGTCAAACACTGCTGTTGTGGGCGGCCGAAAATGGGCACGTGGATATAGTGGCGCTGCTCCTCGGGCGCAGGGAAGTCGATCCTGATCTATCCCTCAACGGCGGCCAAACACTCTTGTCATGGGCGGCTGGGAATGGGCACGAGAGTATGGTGAAACTACTCCTCAATTGCAAGGAAGTCAATCCTGACTCATCTGATAATGACGGCCAAACACCGCTGTGGCGGGCGGCTCGGGGTGGGTACGAGGGTATTGTGAAGCTACTCCTCAAGCGCAAAGAAGTCAGCCCCGCCTCATCTCTTAACGGTGGTCAGGCGCTTCTGTCGTGGGCAGCTGAGAATGGGCACGTGGATATACTGACGCTTCTCCTCGAGCGCAAGGAAGTCAATCCCGGCCCACCGCTTAACGGCGGCCAAACACTCTTGTCTTGGGCGGCTCGGTATGGGCAAGAGGGTATAGTGAAGATACTCCTCGAACGCAAGGAAGTCAATCCCGATTCAACTTGTAGATATGGCCAAACCCCGCTGTTGTGGGCGGCTGAGAATGGGCACGAGGGTATCGTGAAGCTACTCCTTGAACGCAACGATATCAATCCGGGCTCACCTGGTAGATACGGCCAAACGCCACTGTCGTTGGCGGCTGAGAATAGACACGTGGGTATAGTGAACCTACTTCTTAAACACAAGAAAGTCAATCCTGACTCATGCCTTAAGGGCGGCCAGACACTCTTGTCGTGGGCGGCTCGGTATGGGCAACATGGTATAGTGGAGCTACTCCTTGAACGCAAAGAAGTTAATCCTGACTCAAATGATAATGACGGCCAAACACCACTGTCGGGGGCGGCTGAGAATGGGCACGAGGGTATAGTGAAGCTGCTCCTTAATCGCAAGGAAGTCAATCCCGACACATCTGATAACCACGACCGAACACCGCTGTCGCGGGCTGCTGGGCATGGGCACGAGGGTATAGTGAAGCTGCTCCTTGAACGCAAGGGAGTCAATCCCGACTCACCTGATAGCACCTGCCAAACGCCACTGTCGTTCGCGGTTGGGAATGGGCACGAGAGAGTAGTGAAGTTGCTCCTAGGGCGCAAGGAAGTCAACCCCGAGCCATTCAATAAGTACGGCCGAACGCTGCTGTCGCAGGCGGCTCGAAACGGGCGCGGAGGCATAGTGAAGCTGCTACTCGAGCGCAAGGAAGTCAACCCCGACCCATCTGACGAGGACGGCCGAACAGTGCTGTCGTGGGCTGCTTGGAACGGGCATGAGGATATAGTGAGGCTACTCCTCGAACGTAGGGAAGTCAATCCTGACTCATCTGATAACCACGGCCAAACACCACTGTTGGGAGCGGCTTGGATTGGGCATGAGGGTATTGTGAAACTACTACTTCAACGCAAAGAAGTCAAGCCCAATTCATTTGACAAGTGTGGCCAAACACCGCTGTTGGTGGCCGCTGGGAATGGGCACGAAAATATAGTAAGGCTGCTCCTTAAGCGCAGGGAAGTCAACCCCGACTCATCTGATGACTACGGCCAAACACCACTGTCGCAGGCGACTCGGAATGGGCACGGGGGTATAGTAGGTCTGCTCCTTGAACATAAGGCCAACCCTGTCTCATCCAAGAAGTCCGGCCGATCATCATTACCGGGGGCGGCACGGAATGGGCATCAGAGCACACTTGCCATTTTCAAAAGTATCCGGAAATTTGGGCATTACTTGGCGTTTCCCGGCCCCACCAATTCAACTGGCAGAATCAAAAAGACTAAAAAAAATCTCAAGAAATGAGATCAATGCTTGACGGACCTTGTGTTGGAAGTTTTGGCACTCTTTTCGCTCACTTCCTATTCGATATAGGGACGTAATACAGGGGATCCTCCTGGTTTGTGTTGCCAAGCTATTCGCCAGATCTCGCGATACCTCTGCAAGTTGCGAGCGGTGAAGCTGCTCCTAGAGCGGGCCGGTGTCAATTCCAAGACCCCCGGCGACTATGGTGGGAAGCCCGCTCCCCAGCTACCCTCCCGTCCTCAAACACTCCCACGTGAAAAAGCATCCCCAACTTGTTCGATGAGGACAACTTGAGCCTGCAATCGCATACTCTCGATAGTGGCTCTATCGATCCTCTAATCATATCCCCGGACGACTACAACACCGCGATGGATGATATAGATGCCCACCACTAGTATTATCCGCTACCTTTATCTCTCTTCTTTCTACCTTTTCTTTCTGCAATACCACAAATCCCCCAGAATTGCTTGGTTCCCGTACTTTTCGTATTCTTGTTCAGGTTCATTTGTCCCACATCCAGCCTTTTCATTCTATACTCTGCGGTCTCACGTCTATCCCTTTCTTGCGTTATTTTTTCTTCTTTCATATTCCATTCCGCATGTGTTGTGTTGGCCGAGCGTGGTGTTGATGGGATTAGATAGAGTATCATACTAATTATTATTTCGGTACGATGGGATTGGGCGGTTGGGGAAATAATTTTAATAATTATGATGGACAGGCCACCAAAATTTAATTTTCCACGGTCTAGAAGACTCAACCGCGCTCATGACACATAGAAAATCCACTCACATAATGGCGCCCGCCCTTCCTTCATCCCATCTCATCCCTTCTCTCTTTCTTTTCTTCTCCTCTCCCCCACCCGAACCAATTTTCAAGCTCTCTGGGAGCCTAAATTATTAGTCCGCATATCGTGGTTAAGCATCGCTAAAGTATGCACTAATCAGACCCATCGACAGATTGCCCAAGCAACCGTTGCGGTGCAGAAAACGAGCTGATACCAACATCTTAACATTTAGAGATCCAGCTATTGGACACCGCACACACAATCGCGCAGTGGATGCCGGTCAGGTTTAACTAGGGTAAATTTATGATATTACAGCAGTTCCAAAAAATCAAGAGCGCAAGAAAGTTTTCTCGAAAGTGATAACCTTGGCTTTTGAAGTGTCTAAGATATACGATAGGGGCTGTTAAGACAGGTCCCAGTTTTTAGCACACCCTTATCGCAAGAGATTGGAACGATGTTTCCCGCGTACTGGGATGTAGATGTTAATCTGTGTAGGTAGGGTGGCAGATATTGATGTGGAGAATCGAGACGTGCAGGGAGCTCCAGATCCTATTGAATAGTGACGTCCGAGCCTATAGGAGATGTACTCTAGTGTAATCTAATATAACATGCAGAGCTTAATGAGTATAATTATTGTTTAAGGTAGGGGATCACCAAAGGTCATATTCAAAATCAAGTACTACTATACCAGCCATTAGGACAGTGAGAGATAATGGTTCCAGGGATATGGGACCGCATGCCCTGCCCTCGTTGGCCACCAGTGGGAGAAGACAGGTGGTGTACGGTACATTGAAACCAATTGAGGTCAGGTCGGCCAAAGGAGATCAAGCATTAGAGAAGTCTAATTCTTAGCGATTATAACCTCTTCGTCTAGAAAGGTCAGCAATAACAGGAAACAATTAGATAAGATGGAAATATTTACTGTAAAAAGCTATAAAAGTGTGGAGAATTGAATAGAAAAAAGGAAGAAGGTAATTATAAGTGAGTAAAGAAGGTGAAATTGTAGATAATTATTAAATAAATACAAGAAATAATATATTATGATTAAGTTGTAAAACTTCTGCTATCACTATTATCATTACCAAGATTTACTCTATATTCTATCCTGTTAGGTGGAGACAATCTTAGGAAAAAAAAACAGAATTGTCTAGGCCAACCAAGATTCGTTTCTGTAGATGGAGATTGTCTGGGAAGGCTCAAATTATACTTGTTTCATTTATGACTACTAAGAGCAAAGTAAAGTAAGTAAAGTAAAATAGAATTGTAAGAACAAGATTATATTGTTAAGGTCTCTTCACTGTTGCTTGATGATGTCTAAAAGCTTGAGAAGTACTTTGATATTTATATTCTATGTCTGAGTGTTCATGGACTATATCTATCTATTATACAACTATCTACCTTTCTGATTATAACTCGCAACATTGGGTATTCTTCAAAGGTGATAACACTGGAAGACCCTGAAAATCACCACACTCTCTTCAGTAATTCCTGTAATACTAACTAGGAACTATACTGTTTCCAATAGTAATTATCCAATTATTAGAGTCATTAGACTTATGGTCCAGTTTTCAAGTTGAACTGAGTTGGGCCTAATTATCTCCATCATTGATAAAATGATTAGCTTCATCTGCGGGTTGTATCTATGGAGGTAGTCATAATTACAATCTTCCTAAGTCGCTTGACTTCAAACCCCCATAGCTCTGTATTCAACCTACAGATATCTTCTGGATGACTTCTTACTAATTTGCAGAAAGCTATTCTACTAGATTGACAGATAATTCCTCAGTTGGCAGTCACTGGTTGCTCCGGGTAGTAGGGTTTCAATTGCCATTTTAGTTTTGAGAACTATTCCCGCAACCACAGTGCATTCAAGGACCTAGTTGTAATACTCTGTGAAGTGCATTAGCTTTTGTGGTAATATTCCTTGAAGTTCCATACTCTTCTAGTTATCATAGGGTAGGTGTGAATGTATTGGTTTCTTATTGAGATCTTTTGACTTTCAATACCATGTTTTTGTATAAAATTATCTGATCACTTATAGCCTATGCCAAAGATGTCACATCCTTGAAGCCTAGTAACTCTCTAAGTAGTTGATGGATTTACTCCATTCTACTTCCCAGACTTAGTTGAGAGTCCCTTCTCATATATCCTGCAAACAGAATCCAGTCAGATGGACAGCAGCAACGTATATGGTGTTATTCTGACACCTTCAAGTCGGTGGCCATATAGTCACAGGATGCAAGTAAGATAGATATGTATGATGATGTGCGAGTCCAGTAAGGGGGCTGGAGAGGGGTGTTGGAGACCAGAGATTCCGATTCTGAGTGGGGTTACCCTACTTACAATAGTTCCTAGGTATCAAATCCCAGTACTCCTAACATACTCAACTAAATTATTGTACAATGCAACTGCCTTGGTTCCTTCTCAAAACAATTTGTACTAATCAATTCTGTGAAATATTGAGAACTTATACGTACAAACTGTGATACAAGAGAGAGAAAGAGAAAGAAGGAAAAAAAAGCAACATTGCCGGTAAGTAAACAATTCTCAATCTGAGAGAATAATGAAATATCACTTACACATATATTCAGAAAAATGGAATCGCTAAAGCAAGAATAGATATCTTATAAACAGTGATGCACAGTTTAAACCTTGTGCAATTCAGCAGGTTGGACCTACTGACAGATTGCCAAAGACCAAAATCTTAGCCTCAGCATAGTTTTCAACATCTGCCATGCTCCCTCTACTTTAAAGAAACTAAATAGAAGGAAGTTTTTCCTCAATACCCCTACCCATTGCCAACTGGTATCTACAACTATCATGAGCACAACTTACTAAAAAAATACAACTTGTAGATGTTACTGCAGCTTGTAGGGTCCATGCCTATGAGGGAGCACTCCAGAAAGCCTTTCAAATGGAAAGTTATTGCCAGAAGGTTGCCTAGTAAAAGCCATTCCTCGATAAATAGAAGAGGAAAATAATAAAAATAATAAAAGCCCAGAGTAGTAAATTAACAATCACTGTTTTGGGAGAGAGGTAGGTCTGCCGTCACTGTTAGGCGGAGACAACCTGTATAGGCTCAGAGTTGTCTAAGCCAACCAAGATTTGTTTTTGTAGATAGAGATTATCTCGGAAGGCTCAGACTATACTCTTTTCGTTTATGACTACTGAGAGCGAAGTAAAATAGTAAAGTAAAATAGAATTGTAAGAACAATATTATCTTGTTAAGGTCTCTTTTCTGTTGCTCAATAATGTCTAAAAGCTTGGGAGGTACTGTCACGAACGTGGCTTAGTGAGGAAAGGGTTTTCACGTGACACATGGTTATGAGTCACAGGTATGTTATTGTTTCACGCATATAACCTATTCGGGTTGTATGATTAGTTATGTGTGGGATTTGTGATGCTTTCGCACATGGCTCGAGTATGAGTCATGGGACATGCGCCTGACGAGTATGCCTTACGAGTATGCCTTACGGGCAAGCCTTGCGCATATGATTTATGTTTTACACATGACCTTATTATGATGTCATGGGTTTCGTGCATATGACTCAGTCGAGTCATATGACTTGTTTATTGCGTTATGATTGGTTTATGAGTTTTGCACATGACCTCGCTATAAGGTCATGGGTTTTGAGCATGTGATCACTTTGGTCACATGACTAGTTTGTTTTGATTTGGTTTTGCACATGTGACCACTTTAGGTCACATGATCAAAGGCGGGAAGAACACTATATAAGGAGGCCGATGCGGCAGAGGAAGATAGGTTCTTCACGCTTTGTTCTAAGTACTTTTCCTACATATTACTTTAACGAATATAAAATACCTTTACGATCTTTATCTTTATTGCAACATTATCATTACGCCAAGAAGCCTTTGTTACGAAGACGAGTTAGAGAAAGCTTACTATAGGTGTTTCCGATAGAAGACAAAGGTCTTGTACTATCGGTAACATAGGCAGAGGCCTAGAGCTATCGTAAGACAAGGAACGAAAGGGAAAGAAAAGATAAGTATCATTCCCCGTCGCCAATAACTAACTATCTGAAAGGGGATCGTTACAGGTACTTTAATATTTATATTGTGTGTCTGAGTATTTGTGGACTATATCTATCTATTATACAACTATGTACCTTTCTGATTATAACTTGCAACATTGAGTATTCTTCAAAGATGTGAGTACCTAGAGACCCTGAAAATCACCACACTCTCTTTGGTAATTACAATATTGCTAACTATGAACTATGCTATTCTCAATAGTAATTATTCAATCATCAGAGTCTTTAGACTTATGGCCTAGTTCTCAAGTCGAACTGAGTTGGCCCTAATTGTTTCTGTCATTGATAAAATTCTCTGTTTCATCTGCTGGTTGTTTCTATGGAGGTAGTCGTAATTGCAACCTTCCTAAGTCACCTGAGTTCAAATCTCCATAACTACATATCCAACTAATAGATAGATTCCGTAGCACTTCCTACTAATTTATAGGAAGTTATTCTATAAGATTAACAGATAATCCCTCAGTTAGCAACCCTTGGTTGCTCTGGGTAACAGGGTTTCAATTGCTGTTCTAGTATTGGGAATCATTCTTGCAACTACAGAGCATTCCTGGACCTAGTTGTAATACTCTGTGAACTCAATTGGCTTTTGTAGTAGTGTTCCTCAGAGTTCTTAACTTTTCTGATTATTATAGGACAGGTGCAATATATTGGTTTCTTGTCGAGATCCTTTACCATTCAATACCATATCTTAGTGTGAAAACATCCTGTTACCTATAATCCATGCAAAAGACATCACATCTTTGAAGCCTAGTAACACTCTGAGTATTTGGTAGATTTACTTAATGTATATGGTATTATTCTTACACCTTCAATTCTGT